GTACGCAATAGAAGCTCCGTCCGGCAACCCTATGGATTGTATTGTCGTGATAATTGGTAGGTGGATAGGTCTTGATGAGACCTCGAAATTATTAGATTTTGGGCCCCCTGATGGTTTCCGGAGCTCCTATTGCGTGCGATCTACGTTTGATCAGAAAATCCCCCCCTCCCAAAAAAAACGACCGATCCCGGAACGCCTGAAAGGTAGGCTAGTGAGAGGGCCAGTCTACTTATTAAGTTTACCGAAGGAAAACGTATTGTTTTTGCTCAGTCTCCTCTTCCGCTTCTTCTTCTCCAAACACTAACCTAACCTCTGACCTGGCCAATGACCTGATTTGTTGACGTCTGTCACCATGGTAACAGGTGTTGGGTTGCATTATGTTGCAATCTTATAGTTGGAGGGATTTACACTAGAGTAAAGCTTTCATTTATTTTGTTGTTTATATCGGTGACCCTTAGCCATGCGAGTAGTCTTACAAAGTTCAAATAAAAACATACATATTTCACTTTTGAACTTTGCAAAATGTGCCTATGTAATTATATAAAAATACAGTGCACAATAATCCAGCAAAATTCCTTTTTTTACTTTTCACTCCATTCAGCCATTTGAAGTCGGCTATGAACTTTTATCATTTACGGTGAAAGTACAGTCTGCCCAGGAAGAATACACTCACGGAGTTTCTACGAAAACCGAGCTTCTACGAGGACCCGTTTAGAAGGCAGTCGAAGCAACCGTTTTCGTACACGAACCTGATGTCTTTCGATATGGGAATTAATTTTTCGGCACGCCTGGATGCCGAGGTGAGTTCTTATTACATGTACTTATCGTACCCACATGTACGTGGGCTGTGACACAAAACAGAACAGAACAGGCGAAAATCAGCGCGCGGTGGGGTTGTGTGGCGTAGTGGCAGAGTACCGGCGACTCGGAACCTAGAGGTCCTGGGTTCGAGTCCTGACATGCCGCCGATCTTGTGCCCTTGGGAAAGGCACTTTACACGACTTTAATCACCTCGCTTAGGTGTACAATGAGTACTGTATTGTCCCCTGTGTTGGTGCCAGCATTGATATGTTGACGGCACATTCAAGTTGAAAAAACTTGAATGTGCCGTCACTTGAGTGTGATTATATGTTGGAATAATAAAAAAAAATCAATGCGCGCGCGCGGATATCATCCATAAAATTAAAACAGTGTGGCTTTAGTTGATTCAAAAATACCATACCGTTTGCTCAGTATGTACAAACGTACGTGACCCGCCTGGAGCGGGAGTTCATGCTTGTTCTTATCCTGGAGTACCTGGACGCGTCGCTAGTCCTGCTGAAGAGGTACATGTGCTGGGACATGGTGGACATCCTATACAAGAAAATCGGATCCAAAAGGTGAGATGATAATAAATAACTGTTCTTGGCTGTAAATTAGCAGACTACCATTAGCAAACTACAATTGACAGGCCAAATCAGTGCATGTCTCTGTACAGTTCAATCCATGCTCGTTTGTCTCTTGCTAAGTCTCTAAGGTATTTCAATACATGAGACTCGAGTCTGGTGTTATGATTGAGATAAAGTTCCTAGTCGTCAAAAAGGCTGTTAAGGAGACTTTCACGTGGTCTTCCTTGTCTGGGTTTGAGTTTTTTGCTAAACGCGACACTGAGGACCTTTTGTGGGGGTGAGTCCAGCGACATACGGTGAGAAGGTGAGAACAGGGGAGAACGAGAGATCCAAGAAGTGACTTAATTTGTATCCACAATATGCCTCAATTCACACTGTTTGGTATTCCTTCTGTGGTCCTACATTAATACATAAAATCACATAGGAGACAGGCAGGCTCCTTCGGGTTGTTATTTAGAGTTG